TTTAAGATATTAAAGATATAATAAACACATTACATTGTTTATTTCTGATTGATCCTTTTTTATGGTTTCTATATCTTTTTTGATGCTGTTGAGTATCATTAAAATTATTACTCTAAACCCTCTACTTGATCAATTGCTTACTTCATTTCATCTAGTTCTTGAAGAAAATTCTCTTGTTCTTTCATTTGGAGTCTATTTCTTGGTCTTCCCATTTTAAGTGCTTCTTTGTATTTTCTGCCTTAGATGTCAATCCAATCAGCCACTAAACCAATCGTTGTTAATCAAATCGACAAATGATCAGCAGTCGAACTTAAACACCACAGGGAAGGGCAGAGTAATTCCTATGGATGGGGCTATTGCTTCCTCTTAGGCTGATTCCATTCAGAAAGGAGCACTTTGTCTGATAGAGATGGTTCCTGCAGTATGGCAAATGACTCAGTACCTGAATCCTGACAGTTATTTTCTTAGTTCTCTATCCAGAGCCACCATCCCCAGACTCTCCTCACACATTTCTAGGCTAATCTGCCCTCCCTTTTCCTGTACCCAAGGTTTAATGGCTGTAAACAAAAATTTGTGCTCTGGCCTTTTAAAAGGCTCTTCATTTCCTGCTGTCTCTCCCTAGCTGACTGAACCCCTACTGCCTTTCACAGCTGTGTGTTACCTGAGTTCCTTTCTGGCTCTGGTGCTGAAGGCTGGGGAGCTCAGCTTGGGGTCTGAATCCACACTTCTCAGGAGGATCCTCTGACCACTGAAATATCCCTCTGGCACTTCAGCTTCCACCTGTGGGAGCTCAGCCAGCCCTGTCACATGTCCTTCCCACTCCCTACCAGTCACATTGTGCTAAAATGTTTTCTTCTGTCTGTACATGGTTGTAAGGCTTCTCACCAGCTGGTGTTCAGTGGGCTATTCAAGATGATTTCTCTACAATTTTGTTGTAGTTCCAGATTGGTCCTGAGAGGAAGTTACTGTAGCTTTCACTTACTCCTCTGCCATCTGGGGTCTCTAAAGCTATGTATTTGTAACAAATAGTCTATGTTTTGACAAACTGTTTGCAAACATCATGTATAATACCTTCATATTATTGAACTAAAGTCTCCTTATTACTGTTATTATTTATCATTTGGTTTTGTCCAAATTTAATTATTTTAAATAATGTCACAAAATTTCCTTGGGATAATGCTTTTCCCACACTTCTTTAGAATAGATTTTTAGAAACCAGGTGAAACAATAACCAATATATTTAGGTTACAATATACATATATATCTTAATTACTTTCCAAAAATTGTATCAGTTCATATCCACAAGCAATGTAAAAAAATACCTGTTTCTGCATATTTCATCAACATGTCATCATGTTTCCCTCATAAGGGAATAAGAACTCATTGTAAGTTTAGTAATGGGAGTAATGGTAAATGTTCGCTATAAACACTTTGCCTAGTTTTGTGACAGCAATGTACCAACCATTAAATAGGAATCAAGTTAAATTTTCTTATTCTGGAAGAGAGTGTGTTTATCAATCAAATCAAATAAAGTTTTGGCCACATCTACTATTAGGAAGGCACTATAGTAGAAAGTGGAGAGTATGATGGGTTACAAGAGGCTTGGAGTTTGGTTGGAAAAGTTTAAGCATGAAAGGCGTTCAATAACAATATGAGTTTTAAATAAGCTTCTGAAACTAGGAGACCAAGAGCTGTCCTTGCCACCACCGACATGGAGACTTTGTACTGTGTCTCATTTTTAGTGCTGGGATGCTCCAACCTGAAGCTAAAGAAGCTTCCCTAAGTGCGTGTGTTCTTCGCCATGATGGCATATGCTCTGGTGGTGGTGTCTTCATTTCTTATCATCAGAGAAATAATTTATGATGTTATTGTTGAACCTCCAAGTGTTGGCTCCATGACTTATGAGCCTGGTTATCAGAGACCAGTAGCTTTCTTGACCTACAGAGTAAATGGACAGTATATTATGGATGGACTTGCATCTAGCTTCCTGCTTATAATGGGAGGTTTAAGCTTCATAATCCTAGACTGATCTGATGCTCCAAACATTCCAAAACTCAATAGATTTCTTCTTCTGTTCATTGGATTGGCCTGTGTCCTGCTGAGTTTCATCATGGCTAGAGTATTCATGAGAATGAAACTTCTGGGCTATCTTATGACTTGGAGTCCCTTTCGAGAAGAAATCTGTGGATACTGGATTTGTTCCTGTCACTTAAGTTTTAAAGGCTGAACCAATCCTCTGCTATGACATATGGAAAAGGATGAAGAGCAATAGAAAAAGAAATATCTAGTAGAAAACATGGGAAGCATATTAAAGCTTGGACTAGAATATCCTCTCGGTATCAAAGACACAAGTTTATAACACTTTTTCCTGCTGACCTAAACTGACAAACAAATGATGTTAAGTGGCATTTTTTGTTTTTAATTTCTTAAAGAAAATATATTCCATTTAAAAAACTATATTGAAAAGAGTGATTAGTTTTTACAACCCTCTTAACATTTTTTGGAGATGACATTCCTGACTTTCAGAAATTAATGTAAAATCAGGAAGCAAGTTCTCATCTTAAACTCCCATAAGCTGAGAATTCTGGACAGCTTCACCTAGGGTGCTTTGCCTTTAAATAGAGTGTATGGCAGAAAATTATTTCAGATATGTATATAAGACTGTTTCCTGAGCAATAAGGTATATGAAAAAAAGCAGAAACAAGAACTTTTCTAATAAAAAAATTAAGTTTCTGAAAAGTTTATCAAAACTGGTACAAAATTATTTGTTAAGGAAGCAATATGGAAAATGAAGCTTCTACAAGTTCACAAGGGAAAACAATCACTTCAGGTTAGGATGAGATTTATTTCCTAATCACAGAACTTACTATATACATATACAGGAAACCCAGAAGAGTCTTAGCATTATTCAAAAGTCTTTGGACAATAAATGTCAGACATTTAACCAGTGTTTATATCATTTGACCATTAATATAATCATTAAACTGGTTTTTCTTTTATTATTTCGACTTCAAAACTCACTTCCAAAAAAATTAACTTGTTACTGATTGTACTAAATACATCCCTGCAGTGAGTGGTTAACTGCACCTATGGCTCATCCAGTCCTGTCACCAGGGCTTTGTTTTCCCAGGTATGGACCTGCGGGTGGGGCACCTACTGCAATGCAACAATGAGTCAACGGGTATTACATTCTTTTGTCTAATATCTATTACATAGAAAAATATATATTTTTGGCTAGTAGAATAGTATTTATGGTAAATAAATACCACTATCAACACTGGCAGCCCAGTTTAGTCAATGCTGTGAATGAATTTCCATCTCATTAGTTTAAAGCAATCAATTCAGTTTTTTTCAAAGTTTGAAGTTGACACACACACAAATTTATCATTTGTAATAAAATATTATAGTTGATGAGTTTATGAGAGATGAGGAAGCTATCATTTTAAACTCGAGAAGCCTCAGAATCTGCCACCCAGAAAGCTACGGTTCCATATCCAGAAGACCAAAGATAAAACAGGGAGTTGCCATCATCCAAATATTCGTCACCCAAGCAAAAGTTCTCACAGCATAAAACATTGATGTGTGCATCACTCACTAATTGCGTGTATTCACCCATTGCGTGACCAAAGTTTTGTTGGCTGATCTCTCCTTAATCATTGGATTCTGTAAATGTATCTGTTCCTTCGGGAAGCTATTTATGGCTATAAATAATACAACACAAATTGCCTCAAAGTTGATATTCAAAAAATGCAGAATTTCGTGATGTTAATGAAAGTATTTAAATACTTCTCAAATCATACAAAAAGTCAGTTAGACAAGTTGAAAGTGAAATAGGGAAAAACTGTGAAGATTATGTTTCAATGGGTGCACCAAAGGACAGTATCTTAAATATCAAATAATCATACAAACCGCTGAAAAAAAATTCTAAATATTTAAAAAATATTTATTTATTTGGGGGCGCACCAAGGAAAGGTGATTTAAACATCAGGTAATTGAAGAGACCACTGGGAAAATTGAAAAAAATTCTTGAATAATAAAAAAAATATTTATTTATTTTTAGAGAGAGGGGAAGGGAGGAAGAAAGAGAGGGAGAGAAACATCGATGTAAGAGAGAAACATCAATCAGCTGCCTCTTGAGCGTGACCTGAAACTGAACCTGCAACCCCGGCATGTACCCTGACTGGGATTCACACAGGTGGCCTTTTGCTTTGCTGAATGACGCCCAACCAACTGAGCCACACCAGTCAGGGTCTCTGATAATATATATATTACCCCATCCCCCCAAAGGCACCTCTTTAAAAGCATGCTAGAAAATTAAACATTCAGGGTAACATTCATATTGTGTTGTCAACTGTGTTAGATAGAAATTACAAAAAAGCAAACAAAAATGTCATTCAGTCTTTGTTGATTTTCATTATTCCCACAGTTAAAATGGTAACATTTAAATGCTTTCAGTTTAATACTTTCCAAGATAAAGTCCCATTAAAACTTCATTTTCCACTCCCATGTCCCCACTATCTACCATGTCTTCAGTTCCCATTTCATTTAGACTCCTTGCCCTGGTGCCAATTATTCTCACATAACAACAATAACAATGCAGAAAAATGATAAAAGTCTTTTTATTCTAAAAATGAGTAGAACCAGGTTCACTGAATTCTTTTTCAATACAGATGTATAAACCTTAATTAAATGTGCTTATGACAAAGCATTCTATAGTTCTGTATCACTGTTAACAGGGAATGCAGTGTCCATCATCTTCAATATTGAAGAGAGATTTTACACCATGAGAGATTTCAATGCAGAGAATGTACGGTGCTGGATGAATAAGTGATTAACACTTATCTAAATAAACAGTGGTCTCCAAAGTTTGGAAGATGAAAATCAGTGGGAAGTTATAAGGTTAGTCAGTCCGCTCAGGGACTGAAGTGCAGAGGAAATATGACCATGACCCTGATTAATCTTGGTGTAACATTTCTCAGTAACTGAAGGTGTGTTTTTCCCCATATAGCCATTTTTAGGGACCTTAATGACCTCAAGGTCTTTAAGGATCACATGACTTTAGTACTGCCAGCATTCTGTAAATTTCTGTAGCTACGCATTCAGGTAAGCAGACTCATTACCTGGCTTTGCAACTGAAAAAAATTTTAAAGATATATATTAGAAATCAAATAACATAAATATGGAATAATCAGTTCATTACACGAAGAAATCAGGAATCATTTGGAAAGTGATAAAAGTCAATGATAGTTTTTCAAGACAGTAATAAAATATGTTCATTTATTAAAAGGAAAAATTAATCTCTATGTTAACTAGTTCAACCATTAAACTAAATGTCAGAGTCTATGTCCCCATCCCCGCTGTGGGAGATGCAGTTTATTTATACCAGCAGCCATGGGGGCAAGAGAGATACACAGTGTTTACAAAGTTACTTACTTGTACAAGATGGATTACATATGCAAAAATAAAAATCTGAAGACCACAGGACAACGTGAGCCCCCTCCCCCTCCCCTAATGATCCCACAAGGCAGTAATGCCAGGCGGGTGGCCCCTGGGCATGTGGGTGTGGGGCAGGGGGAAGCGATACATGGAAGGAAAAGCCACCAGCCCAAATTCCATGTTTTTTAAGGATACTTTTTATCATGACAATTATAAATTTTTTACTGACATATTATTGCTAAATACTATGTGTAAATCTGAAAACAGTGGTAACAAAAACAAGTGTTTGTGCCCTGGCTGGGTGGCTTGGGTGGTTGGAGCCTTGTCCTGTACATCGAAAGGCTGCACGTTCTGTCCCTGGTCTGGGTGTGCTGGGGAGGCACAGATCAATGCCTCTCTCTCTCTCTCTCTCTCTCTCTCTCATGAATACATGTATCCTTGAGTGAGGACTAAAACAAAAGTTTAAAAAACAAGTGTTCACTGATGTTAAGGCTTATTAAAACTTTAAATAAATTATATAGTATGCCGAAGTATAAATAAAAACAAAACGAGAGGAGAGGCCAGGTATAAGAATGTAGTAAACTAGAGTGATGCCCCATCAATAGGATACTATGGGCATGTCTGGACAGATATTCTGTTATTCAAGTGAAGCCAGAAGTTTGGATTTTAATGTAAAATGTGAGACTATGTGAGACATATGATATAAGCCTGCTGACTGGATCAGGCTGGCAGGCCAGTGGTTGCCAAACCTCGTAAAAGTCAGTGCTATTTTGGTTATGTATGGGTAATTTATATTTACAGTAAAGAAAGAAAATGTTTCAGACACTTTAGTTCAATTTTCTGATGTCAATACTATATTATCACCATTCTTTCTTTTATTAAGTTTACAAACAAAGATATAAAATTGTAAGATCTTCATTGTGTTTCATTTTTAAATGCTTTTACATGGGTAGGAGGCAGAAAAGAGAAGTTCTTTGTGTATCTGAAGTTGTGAACATTTAGTGAAGAACAGTTAACATCTCAAAGGTATACAACTGCAATACAGACTACTTTTTCTGCTTTCCTTCAGTTATTCCTTAGTTATTCAAAACGACAGAATGCTATAAACTGAGCTGTCTATTTGTTTCAGGAGCAGATGGGAAAAGTAGCTGCTTTAAATTGTGATGAAAATACGAGGCCTTTGTTTAATATTTATTTTTCTTTTTAAGCTTCAGATTTTAGGCTTAAGCAACTTTAATCAAGAGAAGAAGGACCAGACAGCTGGGACTGCACTAGGCTGTTGCCTGCGTCTGCACCGGGAATACGCTAACGACAAACAAGCCACCCCAGCAAACAAACCACCAGCTCTATCTTTTGCCAAGGCCGGGAGAGAACAATCACTCACACACTGCTGCAGGGGTTCAGTGAGGCTGTACAAGCTTTACAGAGAGTAAATAGCCAATATTTACTAAAATTAAAAATGCATTTACTATTTGGCATCCAGATTATGGTGGTGGTTACACAAATCTATGCATGTGTTAAAATTTATAGAAAACTACATTAAAGGAAAGAAAAACCCAGTTTTACTGAGTGATAATTAAAAAAATAAAAGCAAGCGAGACTAGCATGTGGGAATCGGGGTTGTGGTCATTATCAGGTTAATGATAATCTGAGCACCTTAATGGTGAGCGGTGCTGACAAATCCCATCCACTTCTCATCTAACTTGATCATTACCCAGCTGAGACAGAGACTGTTCTCCTATACTTTAATACGTATTTTTATTTTTTAAAAGATTTTATTTATTTACTTTTAGAGAGGGGAAGGGAGAAAGAGAGGGAGAGAAACATCAACGTGTGGTTGCCTCTCTCAAGCTTGCTATTAGGGACAGGGTCCGCAACCCAGGCATGTGCCCTAGACTGGGAATTGAACTGGTGACACTTTGGTTTGCAGGCTGGCACTCAGTCCACAGAGCCACAACAGCCAGATGTTCTCCCATTTTGGCAGAGGAGTACACTAGTACAGAGTCCACAAGAGGGGAACTGACCTGCCCAAAGACATAAGACAGGGGGGTGACGAAGCCGGGACCAAATGCAGGACTGTGCACAGTTCCTCCAACAGGTTCCCCCACTCTGTTGTTCTGAGGTGGTTAAAATAATAAAGAAATGCTTTTTTAAGTGCATTTTCTCTTTGACTCAGCAATCCTACATTTAAAAATATATCCTATAGATACCTTCATGTGTACTAAGTGACAGACAACATGCAAAGTTTTTCACTGTAGCAGTGTTTGTATCAGGGTAAGAGTTGGAAAACAGCTCAAGTGTTTCTCCTTGAGAGGCTGATTACATCAACTATGGCACATACTTTCCATGGAATACTACACAGCTCTAAACAGACATAAAGAAGTTCTCTATGTACTGACATTCAAGCAAAAACAAAGGGAAACGCCAAGAGAAACTATTCAATAAAATAAGCAGAGTGGAAACAATATATATAGTATGCTATATATAGTGTATACATATATGTGTGTGTGCACTATGCTATATACTATGTATCTTACACTAATATATACTATACATATACTATACAGTATGCCATCTACATACTGTGCTGTATATAAATATATAAATAAATACAGCATTATTATATAGTATGCTATTCCTTGGGTAAGAAAGGTGAGAATATATCTCTACATCCATCTACATTTTTAAATTTGTGTATATGAAGGAACAGCAGAAGGGTACAGAAGAAACTAGCAATAGCTTTGACCAGAGGGGAGCAGTGGTGGGCGGAGATGGGAACATGGGCAGAAGCAAGATATTCAGTGAATATCTTTTTAATACTGTTTGAATTTTAAACCCTATGTGGAAAATTAAGAAGATAGTTAAGAAGGAAAGATGTTAACAAGCAGCTGAGTAGAGCTATAAGCTTACATCCTAACCTTTTACCTGGCTTCCAAAAGCAGCAATTTTACTCTATTTTTTTATTAATTTGTTTTTTATTGTATTTTTTCCATTAACATTTATTGCTCTTATTTCCACCTGCGCCCACTCCCTTCTTCCCTCCCCACCCTGGCCCCCAGCAATACCCACACTGTTATCTTACCCATGAGTCCTTTTTCTTTTTCATTGATCCCTCTAGCCTCCAACAACCCCTCGTTCTCAGAGCTGTCAGCCTGCTCTCCATCTATGAGTCTGTCTCTATTTTGCTTGTTAGTTCACTTTGTTCATTAGATTGCACATATGAGTGAAATCATATGGTGTTTGTCTTTCTTGGTCTGGTTTATTTCACTTAGCATAATATTCTCCAGGTCCATCCATGCTGTTGCAAAGGGTAAAATTTTCTTATTTTTAAGGCAGAGTAGTACTGCATTGTGTAAATGTAACATAGCTGTTTTGTCCACTCATCTACTGATGGAAACTTGGGCTGTTTCCAAATCTTGGCTATTGTAAATAATGCTGCAATAAACATAGGGGTGCTTATATTCTTTCAAATTAGTGTTTTGGCTTTCTTCAGATAAATTCCCAGCAGTGGAATCCCTGGGCTATAAGGCAGTTTCATTTTTAATTTTTTAGGGAAACTCCATACTGCTTTCCACAGTGGCTGCACCAATCTGCATTCTCACCAACAGTGCAAAAGGGTTCCCCTTTCTCTACATCCTTGCCAGAACTTGTTTATTTATTGGTGACAGCCGTTCTCACAGGTGTGAGATATCTCATTGTGATTTTAATTTGCATTTCTCTGATGATTAGTGACACTGAGCAATTTTCATATGTCTATTGGCCATTTGTGTGTCCATTTTGGAGAAGTGTCTATTCACGTTCTCTGCTCATTTTTTAATTAGATTGTGGGTTTTTTTGGCATTGAGTTTTATAAGTTCTTTATTAATTTGGGATATTAATCCTTTATCAGATATATTGGCAAATATGTACTTTCATTTAGTGTGTTGTCTTTTTATTTTGTTGATGGTTTCCTTTGCTGTGCAAAAATGTTTTAGTTTGATGCAAGGTTGGTACAACATTCACAAATCATTAAATGTGATACTCTACATAAACAAAATGAAGGATAGAAACCACATGATCACATCATTCAATAGGTACAGAAAAAGCATGTGATACAATCCAGCACCCATTTATGATAAAAACTCCCAGCAAAGTGGGAATAGAGGGAATATACCTAAACATAATAGAGACCGTATGTGACAGACTCACTTCCAGCATCACACTCAATGGGCGAAAGCTACAAGTGTTCTTCTTAAGATCGGTCACAAGACAGGGATCTCTGCTTTCACCTCTCTTATTCAACACAGTACTGGAAGTCTCAGCCACAGCAGTCAGACAAGAAGAAATAAAAGGCATTCAAATTGGAAAAGGAGAAGTAAAACTGTCATTATTTGCAGATGACATGATACTGTACATAGAGAACCCCAAATATTCCACTAAGAAACTACTAGCACTGATAAATGAATTCAGTAAAATAGGAGGATACAAAAGCAATTTACTTTAAATGTATTCTGCTCTAGCAAGAATGAAGTAAAACTTAGGGTCCACTTACAGGAGTTTCTGCTGCATTTCAGTCTGCAGGAGGAAGGGGAAAACTGTATTGGAGATTTAGGTGAGGAACACCTTTCTTGTGACTCAGAATAGGGGAATCAACTAAGGATAAACAGCTTGGCTCTTAGGTTTGTTCAGCAGAGTCCATTAAAGGTATGTAG